CAGCTCACAGGGGTGCTGAAAAAATTCTGGTCAACCATAACTTCGACTAAGATGATGACAGTTCACCCGTGGGTGGGAGGGTGATATTTTAAGGGTGAAGAGGTATTTTAGGGGCACAAGTGTGTCAAGGAGGCAGACTGCCCAATTCCTCCTTTATTCCCAAGCTTAATTTAGGTTATATACTCCTACATAAACTGCAAAGCCCCTCCCATTTTACTTTTCTTCCCAGGTTTTTTGCCCTCCTGACTGATCCGAATATTACAGAGGGTACTGGAGGAAATAGAGGGAGAAATCTCAGTTGGAGAGGACTGGGCCAGTTGGGTCTGAAAAGCAGGCTGTTCCCAAGAGGAAGCCTCTACACACTGACTGTTGAGTGACCATGACCAGATCATGTTTTAGAGTCTTAGCTTCTTCCTATTAAAATAAATAGTCTTAAATATCATACGGTATCTCTTATATGTGAAATCTTTTGAAAAATGACACAAATGAACTTATTTACAAACCAAAAATAGACTCATAAACTTAGAAAACAAACTGTGGTTACCAAAAGGGAAAGAGGATGGGGGGAGGGATAAATTAGGAGTTTGGGACTAACACACACACACTACTGTATATAAAATAGATAAACAACAAGGACCTACTGTATAGCACAGGGAACCATATTCAATATCTTGTAGTTACTTATAATGAAAAAGAGTCTGAAAAAGAATATATATATATATATATATATATATAAAACTGAATCACTTTGCTGTATACACCCAAAACTAACGCAACTTTGTAAATCTACTATTCTTTAATTTAAAAAAAAAGTAGTCTTGGTGACTTACAGACCGATTCACTTTCTAAAGGATGTTTCAGAAGCAAAAGCATTACTTCTTTAGGCATCAGACTTCCCTTTAATTCTCAAAACCCCCATTCCCAACGGTCCCGAGCACCATCCTCTGGATGGAGTGGGGGTGGGGGTCACTTCTTCAACACATCAATACCTCAAGCTGGGAAGTGGAGAAGGGCCAGCAGGCACTGTGCCCTGGCTGATCAAGGGGTCACTCACTACGAACACTGAGAAGCATGGCTTCTTGTCTGATTTTTTAAACAATGATTTTGCGGGAGAAGAGGTAGTAAGTTGGATTTCTAATACATAAAATGGAGTCCTGTGGACTCAATATTACTTTCTTGGGGGAGTGAAAAGCTCAGTAAAAGAAGGCAACTAGAAATGAACTGGAGAGCTAAGATCACAGTTAGGCTGACCACCTCCTCGGGTTCAGGTTGAAGGGCCCAGAGAAGAGACTCAGAGAGCAGGCAGCAGCATCCTGCATCTGGGGGCGCTGTGGAGGGCGAGGGATGGCCCCAAGGTCTCTACATCTCCACTGACTGGAGGTCACTGGAGAGGAAAGACCTGCTCATCTAGCCCTGAGAAGGGACCCTCACATCTGTGGACTCAAAGCTTTTTGAGAACTTCATCAATTTAACATTTTAAGCACGTACCCTGACATATTTCTTTACTTACAAGTTCTATAGAAGCATGACTGCATGGCTACACCACGTACATTATAATACCGACACAGTCAACTCAAATGAGGCAAGTTCAACTGGAAGTTCTACAATTTCACCCCGGCCCCCTCAGAGGACGATCTTGTTGGCCCCTTGGGTCTCTGCACCCAGCCTGAGTCTGTGCACGTAGTGGGCAGAGCAGTGTGCACCCAGCCGACCACGTCCATGTCTCAAGGGCAGCCCGCACTTCTCAAATAGCAGTCAACTAAAATAGCTATTAATTACCAAGGCATCCAGATGACTTTTGACTGAGGTTTAGGAGAGTCTGCCCAATAGCATCAGTCAGAAAGCATTTCTGGAAAAACAGTATTTCTGCATTCTTTGGTAGGAACTCTGCCTTAACACTTGGCATCATTTTACTTGATGTTTCTGTTCCCTACCCCCAATCTGGAATTATTCTCGAAATGCATTTTTTCTTTAATGTCATTAAAACTGCCAGGCTAAAATGATGTCTTCTATCTTGCTCAGTCCATGAGGATTGCAGACTTGGCTGCACATTTTCCAAAGACTTCCCGTACATCTCACGACCTCAAACAGCCAAAGGATGCCACAGCCTTGAGGCTTCAGAAATGCAAACAGATTCCTACATTCTCTGTTATTTTTGAGGATAATGAAGTTCACATTTTGCACAAAGGGATCAGATGATCTCGTCTAATCCCCTCGGATTAGGAAATGTAGGTCCAGAGAGCAAGTGCCTACTTAGGCCAAGGCTCCTGGCCTCAGATTAGTTCACTCTCTACCATGGTCACCCTCTGGTTCTCAGATTTACCCTTCATTCTGCCCTGGCTTCGGGATAAATGAGTGGCTGGAAGCACAAAGCTGGGTTTTCATTTTAAAGGGAACAGTCCTTAAAACTCCTTGCCTCCAGGAGGACCTTGAGATGTGGACTGGGCCCAGCCACCAGGTCTGCTGAACACACCTGGTGGCCTTTCCTTTAGGCTCAGTTCCTGTAATCTGGCCAGAGAGGCCAAGGGTTATACCACGAGGAAATAACCTCCACAGCTGAAACAGGGAACAAAGACAAAATGGATTCAGAGCTCAGTACCTTGTACGTTCCCGACCCCGCCCTCTCTACCTCCGTCTTTCTCAGCCTGGTCAGTGTGTCCTTCTGCTGATCAGGGCGAACGAGGGGTGGGTACAGATGTCTGCTATGGTGAAACCTCCGTGGATTTCATGACTCCTAAGCAGTACTGAAGTGTTGTTAGAAGAAGGGTTGGAAATGGTTGATTCACAAGGCTCAGACTTCAGATGCAGAGTTCTTTCAGGGCAGGGATGGTCTATGTCTCTTCCCACCTCTGGGATTTGTCATTGCCATCGCCGGGCACTCATGCTGGCCGTATGTGAGGCACGAGAAACTGGGCTGTCTCTTTTTAGGAGTACGTTCTGGGACAACTATAGCCTTTTTCACTTTGTCAGCTTCCTCCAGGTAGAACAGCTCTACGGTGAACAAGCAGAGCAGCCAGCTGCACACGTCTGCTTTCTGTACCTCCCACCTTTGTCTCTCTCTCCACAGAAGATGCCGCCTTGGGCAGCCAGATGGGCTGGCTTCTCACGTACACCTGTAGAGAAGTTCTCAATTTCCCCCACAACCCTGGGGCTCTGCTTATGCTGCAGCAAAGCTGGGGAAATGGGAAGCAGGGGAAAGAATGAGCAGAAAGGACGCCCACACTCAGGGGTGGAGCTGAACTTTGGGAAGGGGGACTGGGTCCAGGATCTGCTCCTTCTCTTTTTTCTAGTCCCCCAAAGGACAGTCCTGTTTGTACTGGTTGTAAAATTGAACGAGCTGGTGCAGGAAGCAGCCTAGAATTACATACACCCACTCCACCCAGCCCCAGAGAGATCTGGCTCTATGTGGGGGGGGGGGTTGGGGGAGGAGGTTTGGGGAGCAAGGACCATTGTCTCCAAGTACCTGAAAGCATGCATGTTAAGAGAAGGGCTGAGGCACTGAGTAGCTGCCGAGAGAAGAGAGTAAGACCAATGGGTGGGAGACCCATGGACAGAGATTTCAGTTCAATAGAAGGAAGGGTGTTTAACAATCGGGCTCTTCAACAATGGGACAGGCTGTCTAGAGTGCGGTGAGTAATCACTGAGGTAGTAAGAGAGATCGGATGTCCAAGGTGTGGATGTGGTACCAAATTCAATCAGAGAGAGAGAGTTAGATTTTTCATTCTGTAACTTGAAAGACCACGTATCACAAGGTCAAATCACCCACCAGTGTTGACCGTTTTGCACAGCCCTGTACCATTAAAACAACAGCCTGAAGGAGGAAACCAAGTGAATTACGAGAAAGAGAAGCTGCCCTTAGGTGACAAAGTAAATCAGGTGGGAGCGAGGAACTGCGGCACACGGCTGGATGATGTCCGTGCCCCTATAACTTCTTTATGCACCCATTTCCTCACGTGCGTTGATGAAGCTGACAATGAAAGTGACTTGACTGGGCTGCTGGAAGGAGAAAATGAAATAACAGCAGATAATTGAGGGTGTACTCTGGGGCAGGGACGGTTTTAAATGCTTTACTTACACTGTTTAATTCTTACACCAACCACCCCATCTTACAGAGGCAGAAACACGGGTGGAGAGAGTAAGTGACTTACACGAGGCTCTGCGGCAGGCAGAGGGAGTGTCGGGAGGAAAGCGGGGAGAGGGAGACCTCTACACACTGGATCCGAACCCCGAGCACAGGGCCAAAGTGGGGACTCACGGGGTGAATGTCATTACAGAGCGGCGGCATAATGTATGGTCAAGAGGGGGCGCTCCAGAGCCATCCTGTACGACACTATGCACGTAACTCAGGTTCTGTCTGTCTGGTGTTCTTTTCCATGAAATGGGCACAGAAAGGTCCATTTCATAGGGAAGCTCAAAGATTAAATGAATTAATACACATACAACATTTAGAAGAATGTCTGGCAAATAGCATGCTGCAAATGCTAGCTAACGCCATATAAAGATGTCCTAGGGTACTATTACACACACAGGTGTTTAACCTTAATATGACATCCTGCTTTGCAGACACCTGTAATATCCACACATAAAGACAATCACTCCAGAAGTCACAACTCAGTAAAGATGCATCTTTTCCCACCACTGACCTCTTAGCTGCACAATCTAACAGAAAGTGCATTTATTTGATTGCTTTGGAAAACTTAACCAAACCACAGTGCCTCTGTGTGTGTCCTCAGTTCTACTGGATGATGGTGCTTTTCCTACAGGTGGTTGTTCTCCCTGGAAGTCTGCCTCTCAGCTTCTCCCTGAACCTTTAATCAAGTGAAATGTCCAAGATTTTGGTAAGTGAAGAAGAGGGGACCATAGGAGCAGCCCTGGAGAAGAAATGTTTTCCACTGACTTTTTCTGTAGGCAGCTGCTCAAGAGACACTCAGGTCTGATTTGAGGATGGGGACTGAATTCTTCTACTGAAATCTGCAGAGCCAGTGGTTCTGCGGTCCTACCTGGTGAGCTTGGTGCCGATCTGCTGCCTCAGCTCCAGCCTCTCCTCATCCGTCTGCCGCGGAAGGATGTTCTTTTCTTCCAGTTCTCGCTTGGAAGGCCTGTTGCTGAGTTTGATGGCTAAGGAGTCCTTCCTGCACACCTTCATGGCCAGGGAGCCTGCAGGAGGGGAGGGACGAGTTAGTCAGGCTGTCACAAACCTGCCTGGGCTCCCATGGGGCTGACCAAGGGCCACAAAGTGACAGGCAGGGAGACATACACCATGGCCCAACACCAGACAGTGGTCAAGAGCTCAGTCAGAGGATACTTGCATATACTTCCTGCAATCAGCATATCATCTCTACCTTGCAGCATGCTGGGCATGTGACGGGCACACGGGGAGCCTGTGATTGGATCTCTGCTCCACAGGCCCCCCAGCATGCGGACAGCATCACAAAGAGGGGGCAGGACAGTCCGTGGAGTGCAAAACAGAACGCAACGGGCAGAGGAGGGACAAAGGCCTTCGGTAATTATGGAAGGCTTCTCAGAGGAGGAGGAGGGGCTGGCACTTGCAGGATAATGGAGGCAAACAGAATATAGGCTGGCAGGCATCTGCACGTCTGAAAGGCTGGAGGTGACAGATGAACCAGGGAATCCTGGGAGACAAAAGACATCAGCTACAGTGGAGCTGGGGATGGTGGCGGGAAGTAAAGTCAGGCAGACGAAGTGGGGTCAGTGCAGCGCAGGAGAGGGAGTGAGGTCACTGAAACAGGCCATATTCTGGGGTTGTTTATCTTTCAAACATAAGAGGTTCTGAGCACCAAGGGCAGAGCTTCCTTACACCTGGGATAAATCCATGATTCTCAATCAGGAACGACCCCCTCCCACTTCCCTAGGCAAAGACACTTGGCAAAGTCTAGAGACATTTTTGGTTGTTAAACTGGGGTTGGCAGGGGGGTCACTACTGGCATCCAGTGGGCAGAGGCCAGGGATGCCAATAAACACCCCACGATGCACGGGCCAGCCCCCATGAGGAAGAGGCATGTGGTCCAAAGTGCCGCCTGCGCCGAGGCTGAGAAATCCTGGTGCGAAGAGTTCCATTCTCTGGGCAAGAAATGGTAAGCGGAGGCTGGGTAACAGCTCCTGGGTAACAGCTCGGGGGGCACGTGGCTCCCCTCCGTGGCTCCCTCCTTGATGCTGTTCTACTCATTTCATGGCGCACCTGGACTCGTAAGCAAAGCTCAAGTCCAGCTATCCCAGGTCTGGGAGCTGTAAAGCAAGAGGAAGGGACAGGGAGGCAGCAAGTTCAGGGGCCTCCTTTGGATTTCATACAGAAAGGGCTTGTCTTCCTTCTCCTTCCGCTGGTTTTAGAACTTGGGCTTTGGAATGAGACACCGGCAGCTCCAAATCCCAGCGCTGCCACTTAGTAGGTGTGAGGCTCTGGGCAAGTCCCTCACCTCTCCACTTCCTTCCCTCACCTGTAAAATGGGGCAGTAGTTTATGCCACTGGGTGCTGTAAGGTGTAGACAAGAGAATAAAATCTTAGCTCACTGTCAGGCACGTTGTCGGTAAAACGTTACTATTACGTAAGTTCACGTATTAAAAAGTTGACCAAATATCAGCCTATATTCACTTAACTAAAATCTATTTGCTTCTCAAAGCCAGAATGATAGATTTTCAACGTGGCTTTCATCATTTTTTCTCTTGTCTCTTAGCACATTTCAAGGCCTTAAAGAAGAAATTTAAATTCAGGCCTTCTAAAGTGGTTGAGGTAGGCGTAAAAATGAATTTGTTCCATATACAATGCTTAGCAGCACTATGGAGCATTCTGTAGACTCAAATTGAATTTTAAGGTGCCCCCAGCCTTTTTTTTTTAATTGATGGGGGTGTTGCATCCCAAGGGAAGCAATCAAAGAGACACACATCTGAAGAGGCAGGAGACGGTAGCATGGTGTTGCATTTTTGGAGCTCTGAGGCTGTTTAGAGAATAGTCACTCTTTCATTTTACTCATGAAGAAACAGTACCACCAGACCTTGGACTAGAACCCACAAGGGTGGGCAGCTCTTCCCACCAGCCCCGCCCCCCCCACCCCCGGGGAGGAGGCAGATGCACCCACTAGTGTACAGGGAGCTGTCGTCATCCTCATCCTCTTCCTCCTCCTCCTCCTCTTCTCTCGTGTACAGGCAAGGAGAGTCTTCATAGTCTGACTCATGAGGCACATTTTCTTTATTGTCATCACATTCAATCACAACAGTTGGCACTTGTCTTATTTCCGGAAGGCCCAGAGGTCCTGCTTTGGTGACACTGTCACCCGAGTGCAAACCAGAGCTGTGGTAGGAAGTAGAACAGGGAACCCGCTGCTCAGAGCTGTTGAAAGAGAAGGAGAAAAGAAGACATTCATTCTAGCTAAGGCGTCATGTCAATGCAATACGACCTTTTTAAAACTTAGCTGTCCCGTCCTAAGAGGCAAAAGGTCTACTGGGCAATTCAAGCCTCACTTCTCATCTTACAGCCAAATGTGTTAGGACGGCAGTTACCCTGATGGAGGGAGCAGCACGGAACAGGGAACAAGGATTCTAATTCCCTGTGGATGGATGGTGGTGATGGTAGCACAATTATGAAACTGTACTTAAATGCCACTGAACTGTGTACTGCAGAATGCAGAAGATGGTAAATTTTATGTGCTGTTTATTTGCCACAATTAAAAAAATTTTTTAAATAAAATTTTAAATTTCTGATTAAGAGTGATAACTCCAGTGGTTGAAGGAAGGTTCCTATGCAACTCACATGTTTCACAGGAAGAGTAAAAGGATTAATTTGATGATGAAGCTGGAGATTCAGGAAAGAGATGCTGCAAGAGGGTCCAGCCTGCAGAGCTCTACAGCATGAGTGGTCAGGGCTGAGTGTGGGAGAGACTGAAACGTCACAGATGGAGATGCAGAGAAAGAGAAGAGGTGGAACCACCAGGCTGGACCACCAAGCATGACAGCAGGGTGGACATGGTCAGGGTCAATTCAGACAAAGTTCTCTCCCAAGGACAAAGCCAGACCCTCAGGAGACACAGGTGGTGCCCGTCTGGTTTGTCAGCAGGTCAATGTTCTAAGGAGCAACGATGATAATATTCTTGGTTTTAATCCTTTGGTTGAGCCAACTCAGATGAAATATATATTTTTAATTAAAAATGATCTGGTTCGCAATAAAAGTCATACAAGTTCAATGTAAGAAAATCAGGAAACGTGTGTCATCAAACATAAAGAAAATAGTTATTTTCTTAATAGAGTCTATCCTAGGTTCCTACAGCAATTTGGAATCCTTTTTATGACCAGCTCTGAATGAAGTCCAGCAAGAACAACGGAGCCAGAAACATAGCTAAATTTTATAATTCTTTTTCAGATTAACTGGTAGTGGAATTTACGTCTTTCATTTAAGGAATTTCTAAACATAGGAAACTGAATGCATTTTACCAACCAAAAGTGTTTGGCATGCATAAGGAAATGAAGCAGAAGGTTATCCTCTACGGCAACAACTTCTTATCCAAAAGAAAAATCTTACTCACGACATGTGAATGCATGCCAGGTCTCCTTTAAAACTTTCAATTATGTTTTAACTGATTGCTAGGTCTAATTTAAATTCAATTAATTTTCCTCCTCCTATTGTTTCCAAAGGGCTGTTTTTCTCTTTGTATTTTTCATGTAACTCTTTAGGGACACAAATGGAAAATCTAGTCAACATGTTTATGAGCTATGATGTTCAAGGCAATGAATTAAATTAACTTTAAAAAAAAAACCCAACCTTCAACCATTAAGATTAAATCACATATTTACAAAAATGCAGCATCTTCATTAGATATTAGCAGGTTAAGGAGTCCATTTTCTACTTAAATTTAATACAATGGCAGTGAGAGAAGCTAGATGGAACACATAACAGATGGTCTCCGGGTGACAAATATAATAGCTGACTGAGAGGTGACTGATAGGGGAATTACTGACCCACCTCACAAGATGGCCCTTCCATCAGACGATGATACTCCCTGGGTTCCAACCCTGCTTGGATTTCTACATTGGGTGTTAAGGGAATTACGGATGAAAGAGGCAAAAATATAATTCCATGGCTCATATTTTGCCCCATCCCTGCCTTTTCCCCACCCCATGTATGTCTCCTGCAAACGCACAGAAGTGGGGACATGACAGGAGCGGGGATGAAAAGAAGCCAAGAGATATCCTTATCTGGTGGGAAGAATCTTTTGAGGAAATAAAAGTTGGAAACCAGAAAGCGTAAGCATTCCTTAAGGTAGAAGGCTCCAAGCTGCCTCAAGAGGATGGAGAGAGAAATATTATGCAAAGGAAGATAAGAAACTCAGCTTCACAGGTAGTCTGTGATGAAGAGGAGACTGTGGTTTCTCCTCCCTCCAAGATACACAGGAAGTGTGAGGCCTTGAGTAGAAGGGGATTATGAGGTCCCTTGGGCAGGTCCTACATAGAGTGCTACCATGGTGACCAGTCATAGTGACCAGCGACTGCCAGAGACCTCACCTGGCCAACCCATTCATCTTCCTGAGTGTGAATCGAGCACGTGACAGAATATCTAGTTTCCAGAAGGACAAAGAAGGTATTTTCCAGCAAGCTAGGTGAAAACTCACCAAACTCACCAAAAGGGTTTTAAAATATTCTGTTAATCAATATCCACTGACTGCCGACTATGGCTTAGGAAAAATTGCTGAGAGGGAAGAAGACAAATACCCAGCTAGCCCACACGCCTGGTAACTCCGGAGGAGCACCGGACAGCAAGAAAAGACACAGGAGCGCAGAAGAGTTAGCCGAGAAGGGGGCTGGCAAGGTTCGGATGGGGCCTCAGTTTGAGGAGGCAAGACACAGATCCAAGTCTGAGTTTTGTCATTTACTACCTCCTGACACTGGGCAGATTATTAACTTCTCCGAGCCTCACTTTCCTTGGGCAAAATTGGGTTAAGTTGTATTTTTTTCATGAGGGCTGGTGCAGATGAAGTGTCCCACTGGCACAGCCTCAAGGGAGCCCCTCACTTGTAATTTAAACAAAGGGCCTCCCCTTCCAAATGGTTTCCACGTACTCTCCATGTCAATCTGTTTTCCAGACTGTCATCAGAACAACGTTCAGAAACTCAGACAGAACCATTTCACCCGTTAGAACTCGGAAAGTCTGCCTAGTCTATGAACTCAGCGCTCCAAGAGTGAGACACGTGGAAAACCCAGAAAATCCACATTACCAGCTACACTATTCACAGCAAAGGACGAAATCAGCTGAAATGTAGCCCCTGACTGTATCTGGCCTCTCCTCCCCACCACCCAGCCCGATCGGTTTTCTGTAACGGAATTGCCACTCAGAAGCCCTGCTCTACATAAAAGGTCTCACTACAAAAGAAGAGTGAAAATCATTAGCCTGGGAGCGGTAGTTCACACACAGCCTGACAAGCGACGCCTTGTACAATGTGACCCGTGCTATTCACCCAGCCTCATCCCCCTGCCCCACCTCCATCCCCACACAACTCACCCCTCGGACACATGCAACATCGCACTGTGCGCTCTTGCCCTGGAGTGTGCTCCCACCCCCCACTTCACCTTGTTCATTTCTATTTAAATTTTAGTTCTCATCTCAGACAACACTTTGCCTATGTTCTCGGGAGATTTCACAACCTTGAAAACTGGGAATACCTATTTGCTTACTAGCTTCCCCTCCCCAACCAAGTGTAGGTGCCTCGAGGGGCAGGGACCCTGTCTTCTTCAGGTCTGCAGCAGGTGCTGGGCACCCTGGCCGACACTAAGTGGACACTCATTGTTTATTGTTCTTGCTGAATGAAAGAAAGATGGGCTGGAATCACGGACACTTTAGATGCATTTGTGAGTGGTTGACAAGTCATATTCGAAGAGTATTAATGAAGAGATCATTCTTTAATTTTCAGGGAGGCATCCGGTGGTGTGCTGCAGAGTACAGGTGTCCCTGCCCTGATTGGCACTTTTATTAATGGCTTCATGGATAGGATCAAATATACGCAAGAACCGAGGTAGAGAAGGAAAGGCGGGAGTGAATAAAGGGGAACATTTACTGAATGTCGCCCACTGTTCTGGAAACTTCCACATCCAGTATCTCATATCATCATTATAACCACCCTGCAGGAGAGGTGTCATTATCCTCACTTTACTAGGCAGGAAATGGAGCCTCTGAGAGGGTAATTAATAGGTCCAGGAGGGCACAGGCAGAAAAAGCAGGAGTCGGAATTTGAACTCACTCTGTGTCAATATGCTGTGCCCCAAAATCAAATCGTGATACTTGTAAGACCGCTCATTTCAGTTACAAACAAACCCCACTAACCCTACACCTGCAACACGAAGGAAACACCAGGCACTGTCAACACAGGCACAAAACAGGCACCATTACTTTATAAATATTTAAAATCTTACTAACCAGGGTGAGCAATAGGGTCCTCTCCTGCCAGAGTCGGGCCTCAACTGGGGCAGTGACTTGAAAGGATGCATCCTAGACTGGGTTTAGAATGGTCAGGATGGGGAAGGGACCCATCTGTTTACTTACTGTCATGGTGACTTCTACACCAAGATGGCAGCACTGAGAAGTTCCAACAGAGCCTCAGATATTTACTACCCAGTTCTTTACAGAAAGTTTTTTGACCGCTGGTCCAAACCAATGTTTTCTAACCTCCGTCATCCCACACTTGTTAGCTTTTTTGTGTGAGCCGTATTTTGAAGTCCATTTATACTATCATTTACCTTACATTTTAAAGTCAACACATAAAAAAACTTAAATACTAATTCAGCCTCATCTTAAGCAATAATATCTTTGTAATCACTGGTTTCACGTTATGTGTTTACAACTTATGTTAAAATAAATACGCGTCTATTAAACTTTCAAAACACTTGTCTTAAACTCACTTTGTGTTCCACTGATGACGTAGTTATCTTATTTTGGTTCAGTGTTGGCCTAAGCCAGAGTCTCTCAGGCTCGGCGTGGCTGACAGTCTGGGCTAGACAGTTCTTTGTGGTGAGGGCTGTCCTGTGTGTTGTAGGATGTCTTAGCAGCATCTCTGGTCCCTACTCACTAGCTGCTCGTGATTCATCTCCTCCAGGTGTGACAACCCCAAATGTCACCAGTTATTGCCAAATGTCCTCTGGGGGGCAAAACTGCCCATTTGGGAACCACTGGCCTAGAGTATCCACAACGGCTTCGCTACTTGCTGCATTCTCAGATCTGTACCACGTGAGTCTCCTCTAATGCAAGTTGAGCACTAATTATCAGGAATTTGCAGTATTCCCTGAATGATGAACTGCCCAGATCCCATCTCTGGAACTCTGACGTGCCGTCTCAGGCTGGCACTCTGG